AATTCAAAATATTTTTTATGCTTGGTAGATGGTATTTTCAATTTTATTTTTTATAAATTTAATATAACTTTTAAACTGGGAAAACAAAAGTAACAACCATCATTCGTCTAAATTCGTGCGAAAAATCTTTCCTAACATTATAGCATTACTCTTGAAAATAGATAAATATTAATTTTAAAATTAAAAAAAAAAGAAAAAAACAGAAAAGAAAAGGGCTGGAGAGGGCGCGCAAGTGGGCCCGAAATAAGCAGCATCTTAGCCTGTCCGGTTCTGTTAAGAATTAAAACAATTATCGAAAACCAAACTCCCCTCTGTCTTCTTTTCCCCGTCCCGTTCTCTCTCTCTCTGTTCCGTTACTTGCTCCTGTTCGTTTTCATTTTCAACATCTTTTTCTCATAATAATAACCCACTTCCTTTTCACAACTCATCCAAAATCTAAATATAAAGATCAGAATGAATAACTTCCACTTTCCTTCTCTTCCTCCACCCTGTCACCACACATCAACAACAACAACCACCTTTTTCTTTCCTTCTCATTTCTAGGGTTTTTCATTCTCCCCCTTTTTTTCCCCCTCAATTTCACTCTCTTCCTCTCTCTTCCTTCTATTTCATACTGATCCATACTATTCTCGTGTTCATAATCAAAATTTATTTAATTACTCTAGTTATTTGTTTTTTTTTTTTTGTGGAAGTGAAGTGATTGATTGATTGTTGTTGTTGTTATATATATAAAAAATGGCGTATCAGGGTCCGAGTTCGGGATCGAGTTCGAGTTCGGGGTTTCAATTGGTGAATTCTCCGTTTGGAGATACGACTTATACTAAGGTGTTTGTTGGGGGATTGGCGTGGGAGACGCAGAGCGAGACTATGCGGCGTTACTTTGATCAATTTGGGGAAATTCTTGAAGCCGTTGTTATTACTGATAAGAATACAGGACGATCTAAAGGCTATGGTTTTGTGAGCATCTTTGCTTTTATTAATTAATGTTGCCATTATTGTTGATTCTTATTTTTGTGTCATTTGTTGTATATTTTTGTAGTATATCTTATCATATTAGGCTGTAACTTGTTTAATTGTGTAAAGATTGATCATATTTTCTAGACGAGTATGATTGCTTTTTTATTTTTATTTTTAATGTTTACTATAGAATGACTTGATTTCTGTCTTACCTGCATGGAATTGGAGGGTATAGGTGACTTTCCGTGATCCAGAAGCTGCTAGGAGAGCCTGTGCTGATCCAAGTCCTGTTATTGATGGTAGACGAGCTAATTGTAATTTGGCTTCGCTGGGTCGTCCACGGCCTCCTATCCCCTATGGTATTATTTCTTAGTAATATATATACTTTCCCTATGAATTTACTAGCCCACTTTGCTTATGGTACATTTTCATCCATTTTGTGGTGTGGTTCTTGTGGTATGTAGCACCGACACTTCGGAAAAAAGGCGTGTCCAAAACCAACACTTGTGAATATGTTTGATTTTTTTTATTTTTTTATACTTATTACGGGTGTCGACGCGTCTGTGTAGTGTCGGTGTTGTGTTTTCAGTGTCCATATCCGAAACCAACACTTGTGATTACGTTTGATTTATTCTTTTTTTTTTAATTATTACCGGTGTTGACGCGTCAGGGTCGGTGTTGTGTTTTTGGTGTCCGTGCTTCATAGGTTGTGTTCCATACTTTACCCAAATGGGTATACTGGAATTTAATTCTCAAGTTGTTTATTTGTAGTTGCTTTATTTATTTTTATTATGTGAACCTTGCATTGACATGCGTTGGTTATTAAGATTGCAAGATAATATCATGGGGAGGGCTAATCCGTTTGATTATTTTGTCAAGTGAGCAAGCTTGCTAATTCTGATTGATGGTTTAACCCACTGTCTTTTTTTTTCCTTAACGAATGAGTTTATTTCAAGTGATATTATATCATTTTTTCCTTTATATGCATGGCAGTCTTCTATAACTTGAAGTTTCTAGATTATTCTTCCGACATAGAATACAGTCTGCTTCTGTTTTTCTGATTGTTTCTTTTGTTTTTTATAGGACGGGTAAGACCAGCATCCCCTTATGTTGGAAGTTTGCAACCAGCCCGTGGTGCTTATGTTGGAAGTTATGGCTACCAACAACCACTTTCCTATGGCTATCAACAAGGAGGAATGGTTTATCCTCCTTATGGGTGAGTGGGATGCCGTTGTACATGTTTTGCAAAAACTGGATTTTAAGATTTATTTTATCTGCCAGTCTGCAAATGATTATGCTCTTGCCTTTAATGTGTTATGGTTCTTTTTATGTCCATGCTTATTTAGCAGTTACTTGACTTATTTTGAACCCATTCATCGTGTTTTGTAGCTGTTAAATAACAATTATGAGGTCAACTAGACCCATACACTTGTCCTTGCAAAGACAAAAATCTTTTTTCTTTCTCTTTGTGGCAATCAATACACGACAATCACAAGTCACTACATGCAGCACCCTTGTGGTGGTGGTTAGTTAGGAGTTAAAAATCCCGAGAACTTTGGTCATTACTTGCCCGTTGTATATGGAAAGCATATGTTAATTGGATGTAATAACTAATACTCTCTCTGTCCCAAATTTTATGTCATTCTAACAAGATATGTTTGTCTCAAATTATATGTCGTTTTACAATATCAATGAAGCATTAATGCTTCTTTTCCCATTATCCTTTATTATTTATTACTCTATTTTCCCAGTTATTTTAATTAATCTTTCTCCTATCATTAATTAAGGGTATTTCTGTTAAGTAATTCGTAATTTCTCTTTTTCAAACACCATTAACTACATTTCTTAAAATGCATGAATTTGTCAAAGTGACATAATTTGGGACGAAAGGAGTAATTGTTTAATATTAATCTCCATGTATGAGGTGTTCCTAACCAACCACATTTGCATTGTGCATCAGGATGTATTACACCAGAATCATGCTATAGAGGTATCTTTTCAACATTATATGTGGTTGTTTTTATCTTTGCAGGTATACGGCATATGGACCTGAGTACGTCTACCCACAGGTCAAATTAGTTTTTTTTCTTCTTTCTTTCTAATTGGCTTAAGATAAATGTGAATGGTATTTGTAAGATGCTGATGTTTTCTACTTCTTCTATCTTGTCTAACAGAGTATGTACAACCCTTATGCGGGCCAACAATACCTTCAGATATATGGCGTGCCGGGTGGGATGAATACAGCCATTTATCCTTATGGACAATTGGGTCAAGCTATTCCTGGTGGTCATGGTTATACAGCAATGCAGGGTTATACAGTACCAGGTCATCAGATTGTTCCATATGGTGGATCCAATGTTAATGCAATGACAACTTCACCTATGCCTGCCATTCAAGCCTCGTATCCTAGCGGTATAGTCCTCTGTCCCAAAGAATTTCTATCTGTGACTCAGGCTGTTCCTTTTTCTTGCATTTTGAGCATGCATTTCACACATCTCAATTTGATTCGTGCACCTTGTATACTTTTTATATGATTGAAAGAGTGCCGATATTATCCATCTCAGCAGGTATTCTTTGAGAAACAAAAGCCCTGTATATTGGAATTAACATTCATTTGGACATATATTTGCAAATAACCTTTTAAAAACATTGATACTTATATCATCCCACAAAGAGGTCAATGCACAATCAAGGCATATGTAGGCAGTTTCAGTTATCAAACTGATTTCCGTAAAAAAATTAAGGGTACAGCAATCTATAATAGAAGGATTGGGTTTATAATATTAAATATGGACAATTGAAGTTCTGATAGACGGGGAAGTAGAAAATCTGTAATGATTAGTTGATTTGAATTTGATACATATGTACAGTGTTGTAAGATTGTATATAGAACAAGGCATTAAAATCTGCTGATTATTATCGAGTGCAAACTTCAAATTCTTTGAAAATGGGTGTGAATTGTAACTATTTTCTTTTTTCAGGAATTGGTGCACCCGTTCCAGGCCAACAATTTATTGTTTCTCCTCAGTTCATACAAGGTAGCGGTCCTGACCAAACAACTGGTTGAGGGGGCGATTAAGGTGGGCTATTCACCGAGCATCTTACAGTGCATATGTATTTGTACATCATGTACTTATGTTTTGAATCTACCCCTGTTGCAGATATCCTTAGTTTGCAGCAGGACTAAGAGCTGTGGAACTGCTACTTGAGTGGCGGGCTTCTAATCTAGCCTTGCATGTATTTATTTTGCATTCTAGAGGTATTGTTTCTATGTTATATATGGTCTTGATTGATGACAGGGGCGGAAATGAGTTAAGTTGCACATTAGCAACTCATAGGTCATAACTCAACTTGTTATTTGACTCAATAAGCCGAATCGGCGAGCAATTGAAGTGGGCATAACTGGGCTTATTCACACACTGTAGTGAGTGCTCAACTTGTCCGCGAGCTGGCTTATTATGTCTAAAAAATTTGTCGCATATTTGTTAGTACTACAGACAGTATCAGAAATGGTTTTGCTATTTAATATTTACTTCATGTTAATTATTCCAATAAGGATTGTTCTCTGTTTGTATGAAGTTGAAAATGTTAGTATTAGAAACAAGATCAAGATTTAGCTTTTAACAAATTTTATGATATGCCCTGCAGGTCATATAGTCATGCTCACAAAGTTGTGTCTGAGTCAGCTCCAGATGGCGAAGGAAAATGGAACATGCAGGCTGCTTCTTCCATTTGGACGTTTACGCTACCGTATTTATACCTAATACTACTCCTACTCAAGAAGAGTGGAGGTAGTATTGGGTCAATGGTTGTCGGAAAAGGTTTCTGGCAGCCATGTAGAAAATAATAAACTTGTGTAAAAAGAAAATCACGTCTGAATCAAATTATGATTCCCTTAGTCCTCCTGTCCGCTATTGGGTTTGTAGATATAGTTGTCATCAATGTTCGTGGCGATGGATGGTCCATCACAATCGAATATGACTTTTGTGCATAGTAGTTGTCATAGGTTCTACCACAAAACATGATTGTAATTTTATGATTCTATGCAGAACCTGCCATTAATGCAGGGTAGACCCATTAGAGAAGATTGCATTGTAGTGTTCATATTACCACCATCAGCATTTAGTCACATGCCAACTACCTCGTTAAATTCTTATCTGATTTTTCTCAACACCTTTTTAATCATTGATGGAGTTGGTCACGGTAATCACGCACTGTGGTCCTGTTGTTATCATGATATCATTGAAGTTGGTTGTTGCTTGTATTAGGTTGTACCGCACCTACAGGGCTGATTCTCTAATCATCAATTTCTAATGATATCATGATACTGTTGAATGAGTTGACTAAGGAAATATGAATAGTTAATGAACTATTTTTGTCAAAAACATAATTTTACTTGTTACGCATCCAAATTATAACTCAAATGGAAATTTTTTGACACAATAATATATACTAGTACAAGTGTTTGACTTTAATATATTTGGTTTGGTGTACCGTTGTTGGGATAAGCTGTTGTTCTTTTTGCTCTTTCATGACCTTTGTCTCTTATAACGTGAATTCTTCTAGTTTTATCACGTCATTGTTTCATCCATGGCACAATTTAATCAATAAACTAAATTAACCATTGGTTTTTAAATATTCAAATTCACGGACAATGGTTTTTTTATATCATAATAACATTATAACGACACTAAAAATAGTAGAAATGATGTTAAATTAAAAATAAAAATTTATCGATTATGTTTTTAAAATAGTGAATGATAATGACACACGGCGTGACTTGGCATGTTATGGGTCGCCCGATCAGATCCACCATGTTAGGGTGTGGATTAGAAAACTCTGAAAAGGCTATTGTTTGTCACTTTATCGAAAAAGAGACCACTTCTTTCTAATAATGGGAGATAACTGATTTTTTTATTCTCACACTCTAGTCAAACAGTTGAGAGGGAATTGGTTTCTCACATAACAATTTGATTCACAAATTAGGCATATAAATACATTAATCTTTAAGGGATCTTTGATACGGTGGCAGAATCGACTGTTATATACTGGTTTTGCATTTTGTGTTCACAAATATTGCGGTAAGTAAGAGTCGCCACCGACTTTTCTTTTATCCAAATTAAGGAAAGGGTGAAAAGAACAGAAAAAGACATTTTCGAGATTTTTTGAGTAAGGGGGTAGATTATGGAAAGGGAATGTGTTAGCATCCTTTCCATCCGTAGTTATCTACGAGCTCTTAGAGGTTTGCTCATTTTGAAAGTACTTTGTGCTTTGTGTGTTTGAAAATATTTAGAAAATGCCTTAATGCGGCGATTTGCTTTGCATTTAACTCTTGTATCAGTCCTCGAGAGTGTTAACAAAGCAAATGTTTTGAAAATTGCTTTTGAAAAGTAGTATTTGTGTAAGTGCAAAAATGTTTTTGAGCAAATTTCTAACAACTATCTACTTTTATACTCGAAAAGGTTCTTTTCCTCCTATCCTTTAGACAGTACTATCCTACTACTAGAGAGTAGGTAGCTCTATCGTTGGATGTATAAGGGACATTCGAAAGGGATGTTACAATCACAAAGACAACTTGTGGAGACGCTTTAGCAATTTTTTTAGGGACTAGATCATTTACCGAAAGACAACTGTAGGGTCATCGAGGGACTATGATCTTTTGATTTATGAGTTTTTGCTAAAGTGTTCCTGCCTCATGACTGTTTTATTTCTGAAGGCAACCAAAATGGGTGTACCTTAGAGGTGCATATGTGCAAGTGTGTTATGTTCAGTTATTTTTTGTCTTTTTGTTAAGTTTGCTAACGTTTGATTTCAGTCTTTTTCATACACGCCTAGTTACTAGCAGTTAATATATATACAGAAATGTAAAGTACAGAAATATAAAGTGCGAGAATGTAAATCCTACGTTATTACATGACTTTGTGAGAGATACATTATAAAAATGCGAGAAATAAAGCCCTAGTTACTATTACAAACTAGGAAGCAATTACAATAAGATGAGAAAAAAATGCGAAAATAAATAAATACGCAAACAAATTAAAATGGACGTCTAAATCCTAAGGGGAAGAAATCTTTTTGTTTGTTTTGTTTTATTTTAAGAAAATACAACCTAAGTCTATTTAATTTTAATTTCAAGAAAAAGGTTAGAATAATTAATTAATTTATTTACAAAATTAATTTAATTAGAAAAAACAACTAGCCTAATGTTTTTTTGTGATTTTTGATTTAAGGTCAATTTAAAGAAAAGAGGGTCAATAAAGAAATGAAAACAAAAATAAAAATATAACAGGAAGCGTCCTTCGATTGCAGGGAGATGGTGTCTTTTGATTTTATGAAGGGAAAGTTGTCTTTCGATTACCCTTTGATCCAGTGACAGGATGTGGCTTTTGATCCAGAGGGCGCTGCTGGAATTGCCTGATGGATCACTTCTGAGGGCACTACATCTGCAAACATGTTGGCAAAATGAAAAGCATGACCTGGGTGCCAAACCCAAGTCTTTCAATTATGCATGCGTTAGGTCTATTTAGGCTACATCTGCAGCAAGTGTTAGCAACAAAATAAATGTAGACTTGGGTGTCGAACCCAGGTCCTTAATTTTGATTACAAATCGAATGACTACAAGTATTGATGTGTCATGCAAATACAAAGTTTGATCTTTTACCCTCTCTTACCAATAGTTGGAACCTTCGATTTGACACTTGCTGGATGTAGAGACACTTGCTTAAGGGTTGGGGATGATTGTAAAAAGCTTCAAAAAAACCTCCAAGAATATGTTTTTGATTTCGTGTGATTCTCCCTCCTGTTGTCTAGCCTCTTCTTGTGCGTATGTATGTGGTTCTTTATATAGAGGGGATGGAGGGGACAAGAAAACAAATGTTTAAACAACCATAAACAAATGTTTTCAAAGCCATGAATGATATTTTGTAACGTTTCAAAAGTCATAGAAACTTGTCCTATTTTGAATTTTGAATGTATGTCGACATTTTGGCTCTTTCGAATGCCTTCAACTCATGCCCTTTGATTGGCCTTAGGTTGCCTCTTTCGACTGGGCCTCTTGTGTAGCCTTCGAATGGGCCTTCTGCATGCTTCTTCGAATATACCTCTTGTGTACCCTTCGATTGGCCCATGTTCTCATCACTGTGGCTTCTTCGTTTGAACCTTTATTCAGCTGGCCCAAACGAAGACTCTTTCCTGGCCAATGACTGTGCTTGTGCATGTTGGCTTGAAACTGGAAGTATGTTGGCTTTTGGGCCAGCAGGCCTCTTTGAATATTTTTCTTTCGTTTTAGCTAGCAATATCCTTCGCTTTGAACCAATGTATGTGCTCTTTTGAAGGGAACCCATGCATCACTTGTATACATCACTTGACATTCCTTCAAATGGGCCAACAAAGTATGTCCTTTGAATGGACCATGTGCCTGTCCTTCGAATGCGCCAGCACTAGGTGTCAAATTATGGAAAACTGTGTGTTGAATATTTTAGAGGTGGAGTCAAAGCTAGCATGAGGGGAGCCAATTGCTTGATGAATCGAAGCACATATGAAAGAAAACCTTACTTTATGGGCGCTGACATGAAGGGAAACCATTGCCTTGCACATTGGAGGCAAGCCCAGAGGAAGTCATTTTCTTGTGGGCCGAAAGCAAACACAGAGCCAAGTTAAAGGGGCCTTGGCCTTGTGGATTGAAGGAAAGTCTGAGGCCTTTTTCCTTGTGAGTTGAAGGCATGCTGATGGGTCTTTGCCTTGTGAAACCAAGGCAAGCATGAAGAGACATACGTGTGCTGCTGACAAGCTGAGGTGACTTTTTCCCAGTGGGAGATTTGTGAATCGAAGGCCAGTTTGAAGGAGTTCTTGCTTTGTGCGCTGAAGGCATGCACAGAGGGATACTTTTCCCAATCGAAGCAAGAATTCAGCTTGCTCTAAAGAGACCAAATGCCCAAATGAAACAAGAATCCAGCTTGCATGCAGGTAGCCATTGTATTGTTAATCAAGCCAACATGCAAAGCCAATGGTGCAATCGAAGGAGCACTAACAAGAGGCCCTTCCCTCTTGGATCGAAGGAGGTTGTTTCAAAGGAAACACATGCCCAGTCGAAGCAGGAATTAGCAAACAAGCAAAAGACCAAGGCTTCAATCGAAGCTTGGAAATTTGAGGCAAGCTTGGAGGAGGTTTGACGCTCAATCGAAGCCCTATCAAAATATCAATCGAAAGACACCTTATTCATGCCAATCGAAAGACCTTATTTATCTTCAAAAAAATTTATTTTTCTTTAATCAAGTGTTTGTAAACACCTATGTAAGAGAAAAATCTTGGGAAAAAGTGAGAGGGCAAATTTTAGGGTACAACAGCTGCCCCTGTTCAATCTTCTTAAACTTGAGGATTTAGATTGGCTTGTCTGCCTTTCGTGATCTGAAGGTGGAAGATGTTTGAACACTAGAGTTCCCAGAAATTTGCACTCGCATGAAATAACATTGATGGTTGATGATGTAGGGAATGGGCTTATAGATGCCATTTGAAGGAGATGACAGAGAGTCGTCAAAGATAGGCTTAAAGATGTCATCTGAAGTAGATGGTGATTTCACACATGGTCCCTTTGAGGGTTCTTGTTCCTGCTATCTGAGGAGGAGTCTGTTGGGGAATATGGGTTTCTGTTGTTCTCCTGTTTGAGGAAAACTCTGTGGAGAATAGAGTCTGGGAACTTCAGTTGTCCAAGGCTCTGCTGAAGAACTATCTCTGGAGAGATGATAGTTTGCTGTATTCTGGTTGAAGTCCAGGTTTCAAGTAATTTGCTAGGGATAATGGAATTAACCTTTATCTGGAAATGTATTAGCAAGAGCCTGTGTAGGATTGTTCCAGGATGAGTCCGTGTTGGACTGCCTCTGGAGGGTTATATGAATGAATCTTTGACTATTGCTACCTCAATGGATAATGAAGGAATCTTTGACGATTGCTACCTCAACAAATGATGAAGGAATCTTTGACGATTTCTACCTCAATAGATAATGAAGGAATCTTTGTCGACTGTTGCCTCAATAGATGATGAAGGAATATTTGAAGATTTCTACCTCAATGGATAATGAAGGAATCTTTGACGATTGCTACCTCAATAGATGATGAAGGAATCTTTGACGATTGCTACCTCAATATATAATGAAGGAATCTTTGAAGATTGCTACCTCAGTAGATGATGAAGGAATCTTTGACGATTTCTACCTCAATAGATGATGAAGGAATCTTTGACGATTGCTACCTCAATGGATAATAAAGAAAT